CTTCTAGGAGCAGGATTTAAAGCCCTCGCTTTTGCTCCTGGAGACCTCCCTGCCTGGTGGACACACGGGGCTGGAGACCCCTCAACTTCACCTCCAAGTCAGGAGGCGCCCGTTTCCTCCAACCCCTCGCCTTCCCCTCGCTCCTGGGTCTTTTGTCCCCATTTTCGTGGTGTCTCAGCATTGCTCTACAGAGGCGACTTTTTCCCTGCCTCTCCTGGATTTGCTCTGTAGCATTTCTAGGCTCCTACTCGCCTGCTCTCCCCCCGTTTGCCTCTTTCATCTGCGTCCCTGATCCCTCTCCAGCTGATGTGATTCTTTAGAAATGTGGGTCTTATCCCGTCCCTACCTTTGCCGGGTCTGATTAGATATTATTTTTTCATTGGCTCTGCTACAATGGGTTCCTCCCTTTAATCTCTCGATATATTTTTCCCCCTCCCGGTATAACCAAATCCATGAAATTCACAGCCTCTCTCTTTGACACGACTGGCTCGTCTAATCACTCCATATCGATTTCCCTAACTCTTTTCATCCAGCTGAAGACACATCTTAAAACACTCCAAGCCAGAGTGTGCTCTTTGCTTTATACACACTAATAAAATGATTTACCCTTCTCTCTCTGCTCTCCTCACAGGAGAAAATCGTTCAAGTCCCGGCTATTTGTGTGTGATCAGTAAATATTTAGTGTGGCGACATCTTCAGCTCCTCTCCTGATCAATACACAACCCAACAGGAGGTGGACTATTGTCCGGGTAGTGACTTGCTGAGATCTCCTTTAGATGAATTCTTTGCCCCCCATCCAGTCTGTTATGATTTATCCTCGAAGGTAACCAGCAAAGAGAAACCGAGGCTTTAAAAACGGTCTGTTTCTAACCTGTTTACCGTGACATTAAAGCACCTAAGCAAGGGATGGCTTATTCTTCCCCGTCTCCCATCATCTCCCTTTTTGATGGGCTGACAATTCCCAAGCGCTGCTGGAGGATGAAGAGCAAACCGGGCAGCCGTCGCACGGTTGCTCCGCATCCCTCTGTCCCCTCTCTGTCCCCTCTCTGTCCCTTCTGTCCCCTCTCCCCCTCAAGCAAAACCCCGTCGTGTCTCTGCGGAGCGATGTCACGATAAAAGGGGCGAAAAAGGGGCGACCTCCCGGTCCCACTTTGCAGCATCTCCGGGCTCTGGACCCTCTCCCCCAGCTCTGCCTCGGCGGGTGGGTGACAAAGTGCCCAGGGATGGAGGGGGGACACCCCACCAACTTCCAACCCACCTCCCTCCTCCTCCTCCATCGCATCCCGCAGCTCTGCCTGCCCCAGGATCAGGCTGAGCCAGGGCTGGGGGCTTTTTTTTTGTTTGTTTGTCTGTATAGAGTGTTGGGGTTTTTTGAGGGGGGGGTTTTGAACGATTCGGCAAATCTGCAGTGAAGAAAAAATTAATAATAATAATAATGGCAATGGGGATGAGGTTAAAGCCCGGTTCCTGTGGTTAACCATACACGAGAGCTTTCCCAGGGTGATAAAATGGACCAGAAAAGAGAAGTTCGCGCGTGTGTCTATGTTTTATCCCGATCTGTTCTTTCGCTCCTGGGAAAGCCTATGCCTCCAATAGGAAATATTTCCCACTTGTAATGACCCCAGGACCGTGTGTGCCCGCTGCTTAGATGGTTGAGATGTCTGTGCAGCACAGGCAGGCGAGCCAGACACGCCTGGAGTGCGTGTGCCTGCCTTTGATGCAGGGCTGGGTGCCTGTACACAATAGCCACCCGGTTGTGGCTCTAACGTGTGCGTGTGCGCTCACCCACTCACACCGGGGGCTGCAGCCCCGCCGAACCGCCCGGTTATTTGTTTTATTTCCGTCTGTGTGCTTTTGCACACAAGCTATATAAGGGCGAAGGCGTTTATCTCCTTGGATGTGCAGGGAGTGCAATCCGTGCTGCACAAATGCGTGGCTGTGTGTGTTATATATATATAAATATATATATATATGTGTGTGTGTGTTATGGGCGTGCGACTGGTGCTCGAACCTCAACCCAGCTACATCCACCTGTTAACTTTGTTTAGAAACCACTTTCCCTAATGGCTTTTCGCTAACTTATTCAGCCCGTTACTCGAGTATGGGAGGCAATGGAGGGGAAAAAATCCATACGAAACCCTGCTTACAGCCTCTCTGCGAGAGGACACTTTACACACCTTGCCTAGACAGGGCTCCTATAGAGCGCTTATCTCTCGAATATATCTTTATACTAATGCATACTTAATTGGTCTGTCTTGACTGTCCATATAAAACAATTTAATTAGGGTGCTTTCTGCTTTGGGAAGAAAGAAAAAAAAAAAAATCTGCCCAGCATTTATTGTATTTAGCACCAATACAGGCAGAAAATGTTGCACAAGTTTTTGGTTGAAAGAGCACCTATGTGTCCATTGAAGGGCGTTGATCCGAAAAGACAGAGAGGACAAGTAAAATCGATTTGAAGCGACCCTCTCTGTCCCTTTCACACCATTCAGACACTCCATTCCTTCTAAGACAAAGACCCAGCGCCTTGGGAATGCTGGCAAGGGGGGAAAAAAGGAGAAAAAAAAAAAAAAAAAAGGAAAAAAAAAAAAAGGGCTTCAATCCCCCCAAGCAAAAGGGAGAGCTCTGAAATTCCTTCATATTGCTGTTATTTACCCCCCCCTCAAGATATGTTCAACTCCAGGATTTTCTTCAATTCGGCGTCTAACATTGCTGCTGCGAGGAATGTCCCTGGAAGGGGAGGAGGTAATTATGGCTATTAGTGCTGCGAGCCCAGCCTCAACCTTGGTCACTCGCAGGCTTTTAGGGTTAAAATAGCCCTCACCTCTGACCCCTGCGGAGCAAAGTTGTAGCTATCGCCACAAGTTGGGCCAAAGTTTTCAAATCCAGGGCTGGGCAACACCGGAGGGGGGAAACTTCTCCCTGGAATTATTTTTGGTTGGGGTTTAAATCATCTTTAGTCTATTTAATTGCCTTTCCCTCCTCCTTTTGCCAAACAATCCCGTTCGGAGAGGTTGGGGGGGGATCTCGAAACGCCCTGCTCCCGCTACCTTTCCCACTGCTCTCTCCATTTAGGTTTAATTTGGCAGTTTGTTTTCAAGCATGAAAATGGTTATCATCAAACTGAATTACTAGGTCATCCTTTCATCCACGGATCTCAGGAATAAACGGGGGCGGAGGGGGGGGGGGACACAGGACGACACGGCATGGGGGCTCCCCCCTTTAGGCTTTCCCCACCACCACCCGTTCAGCTTGATAGAAAAGAAGCGTTTGGAAAAGAAGAGAAAGGATGAAAAGCTTGAATTTGTCTCCTGTGTT